AGCGATCGAGCGGAACCAGGGCTCCAAAGTCTTTGCTAGAGATCTGTCTGCCAGAAAGAGCCAACTGTCAAAGCTGAAGACCGAGTGTGGCAGCATCGTTTCCGGGGCACCTGAGATTTTGAGTGAGATTGAGAGGTTCTATGGGTAGTTGTACACAATATCGTTGGAGCCACATGCAAGTGTGAGTAACGATCCAAGAGCGAGTCTTATTCGACACTATTCCGAAGATATCCCGGACGTCAGTCTTAGCGAGATTAGAATGGCTCTCACACAGCGGAGCTTCTGAAAGCGGGTGGAAAACCGGTACTGGAAGTTCTTCAGAGGCTCTTTAATTCCGTCCTCCATGGTGGCATTACACCGGAGGCGTGGAGCAGAAGTGCGGTGGTATTGTTCTTCAAGAAAGGTGACTCGAAGCTGAAGACCGAGTGTGGCAGCGTCGTTTCCGGGACACCTGAGATTTTGAGTGAGATTGAGAGGTTCTATGGGCAGCTTTACACTTCATCGTTGGAGCCACACGCAAGTGTGAGTAACGATCCAAGGGCGAGTCTTATCCGACACTATTCCGATGATATCCCGGACGTCAGTCTGAGAGAGATTAGAATGGCTCTCCAGCACCTTAAAAACGGTAAGGCCCCAGGCGAAGACGGAATTACAGCGGAGCTTCTGAAAGCTGGTGGAAAACCGGTACTTGAAGTCCTTCAGAAGCTTTTTAATTCCGTCCTCCATGGTGGCGTTACACCGGAGGCGTGGAGCAGAAGTGCGGTGGTCTTGTTCTTCAAAAAAGGTGACAACGCTTTCTTGAAGAACTACAGACCGATTTCCCTTCTGAGCCGCGTCTACGTGCTGTTTTCGAGAGTCATTACGAATCGTCTCGCGCGCAGACCTGACGACTTCCAGCCTCCTGAACAAGCCGGATTCCGAAAAAGCTTTAGCACCATAGACCACATACATACCCTTCGGCAAATTGTACAGAAGTCCGAGGAGTACAATTTGCCACTATGTCTGGCGTATGTGGACTATGAGAAAGCCTTTGATTCTGTCGAAATTTGGGCGGTGTTGCAGTCCCTTCAGCGGTGCCAAGTTGACTGTCGGTATATCGAAGTGCTGAAGTGCTTGTACAGTAGGGCTACGATGGCTATCCGAGTACAGAACCAGAGTACGAAACCTATCCAATTGCAGAGAGGTGTAAGACAGGTTGACGTTATATCCCCGAAACTCTTCACCGCTGCATTGGAAGACGTTTTCAAGCTTCTGGACTGGAAAGGATACGGTATTAACATCAATGGAGAGTACACCACTCACCTTCGATTTGCCGACGATATAGTCCTTATGGCAGAATCGCTGGAGGACCTAAGCACTATGCTCAATGTCCTCAATAGTGTTTCCCAACGGATAGGTCTTAAGATGAACATGGACAAAACAAAGATCATGTTTAATGTCCATGTCACACCTATGCCGGTAGTTGTTAGGGACACTAAGCTCGAAGTTGTTGACGAGTATGTTTACCTGGGACAAATAGTCCGACTAGGTAAGTCCAACTTCGACCGAGAGGTCAATCGACGGATTCAACTCGGCGGGGCAGCGTTCGGGAAATTACGGCACATCTTCTCGTCAGGTATACCTCAAAACTTCAAAATGATACTATACAACCAGTGCGTATTGCCAGTGATGATCTATGGAACTGAGACGTGGTCCTTCACTGTTGGCCGGATGAGGAAGCTCAAGGTTGCTCAGCGAGCTATGGAGAGGGCTATGCTCGGAGTTTCTCTGCGTGGTAAACTTAGAAATGAGGATATCCGCAGTAGAACCAGAGTGACCAACATAGCCCATCGGATTAGTAAGCTAAAGTGGCAATGGGCCGGCCATATAGCTCGAAGAACCGACAACCGATGGAGAAGAAAGGTTCTCGAGTGGCGGCCTCGTACTGGCGGACGAAGTGTAGGGCGTCCTCCCACTAGATAGAGTGACGACCTGGTAAGATATGCCGGAAGTCGATGGATGCAGGTGGCTCAGGGCCGTTCTTTGTGGCATTCCTTGGGGAGGCCTATGTTCAGCAGTGGAGTTGTGAAGGGCTGTAATGATGATGATGATGACACAAATTAACATCACAACAAATTAGAAATAGCTTGGTAGCGATCACCTCATTTCCAGGGGTTATTATCATCTATAAATTCTTTAATATTATAATAACCCTTTTTATACAAACTTAGTTTAATAAAGTTTTTGAACTTTGAGCAGGTCAAATTTTATATATTTTCTGGAATTTTGTTGTAAAAGCGTATACATCGCCCCAAGAATGAATTACTGACTCGATGGAGTCGAGTAACTGGTACTACCAGCTTGTGTCTGTTCCTAATATTTACAGAATATCTCTTATTTTTGTAAAACTACTTTTATTTTTGTGTACGTACATAACATTTTCATAAATGTATTGAGAGGCCAAAGTTAATATACTAATTTCCTTAAATTTTTGACGCAGCGACTCTTTAGGCTTTAAATCATAAGTTGCTCTTATAGCCCTCTTCTGTAAAACAAATATAATTTCAGTGTCAGCTGCGTGTCTCCATAGCAAAATACCATACGACATTATGCTATGGAAATAGCTAAAGTAAACTAGTCTAGCTGTTTCAACACTAGTTAGACTTCTAATCTTTTTTACGGCATATGCTGCAGAATTAAGTCTGCTCTGCTTCGCGTCTAGTGTGATTCCAAGAAAAATGGTGGTATCTACAAGACTCAGTTTCTCCCCATTTAAAATTACATTAGTATTTAATTGTTTGACATTTGGAGTCATGAATTTCATACATTTCGTTTTAGTACCATTTAGATGCAAATTATTAACATTGAACCAATTTACTAATTTAGATACAGCATTATTTACTTCGTCATATTTTAGCAATTGTCGACTTAATTTGAAAATTAAAGAAGTGTCATCTGCAAATAATACTATATCATGGTTACCTACTATGTAAGGTAAGTCATTAATGTATACAAGAAACAGAAAGGGGCCGAGAATTGAGCCTTCAGGCACGCCCATTTGTACCATCGACCCGGAAGAACTCATACTGTTAATGACAACTTTTTTCGTTCTCTTACTTAAATATGAAATAATTAATTTAAGAGCATCACTTCTTACACCGTAGTGTTGAAGTTTCCTGATTAATGTTTCATGGAGAACACAATCGAAGGCTTTGGATAGGTCACAAAATATACCCAAAGCAGCCTGTGAATTCTCCCATGTAGTAAAGATATATTTAATCAGATCAACACCGGCATTAGTTGTCGAGCGACCCCTTGTGAAACCAAATTGATTTTTATGAAGTAAATTATTTATATTAAAGAAATTTAACATTTGATCAAGAATAATTTCAAAAATCTTACTATGTGTTGGTAGTACAGAAATAGGTTTAAAATTGGCGGGGTCTAATGTACTACCAGATTTAAATAAAGGTATTACTTTACTATACTTCATTAAGTCAGGAAACACACCAGATTCGACACTAGTATTAAAAATAATAGCTAAATGAGGCGCCGTTGTATCTATTATAGACGCAACAACTTTAACGGAAATCCCCCACAGATCCGCAGTTTTCTTAACATCAATAGTTTTAAAATATTTTACAATATCTTTTGATGATACTTTATGAAATGTAAAATTCTTTGTACACGCATTTACATTTTGTTTAAGTAATGATTCGGCGACGGCAGGAGAAGAGTTCAGTGACTTAGTGACGTCTTGATCTGATTCGGTTATTTTTGTTACTAACACTTAACGGGTAGTTTGAATTCCGAGAGTTGATCTTACCAGTTTCGCTATTAATTATACTCCCTGTCATTTTAATTTTATTAGAAGCCGTCTTAATTTTGTTGCTCAAATGCAAATACTTGGCTGTGGAGCACACTCTTTTAAATATTTTTGAATATTTTTTTACATAATCCCTAAATTCGACGCTATGATTATATGACCTTTCATGGTAAAGATCATATAACCTATGTCTGCTCTTATGGACTCCTACTGCCGCCCATTCATTAAATGACTTCCGACTGTTCAAGGAGAATGTTTTAGAAATAAAAGTATTATTAAATTCATTGCAAATAAGCTTAAATAATGTTCCATACAAAAAATTTGGATCATTTTGGTATGAAAGTGAGTTTGTTCCCTATGTTACTTCTAAATTTTTCCAAGCGACGTGCATTTACTCGAACAAACATAACTTTCTCATCTACTTGCTTTTTGTGAACATAAGGTAACGAAACTACTTGTCCACAGTGATCAGAACTTAATTTTTGAATTATACATTTATGCAACGGCTTCACATTTGTAAAAATGTTATCTATTTTGCACTAGATTGAGCAATACGCGTTGGCTCTAAAAATAAATTAAAAAGACCATATGATTTAAATAATGATCTAAATTTAATATTGATTGAGGAAGTTTCTAGGAGATTGATATTAAAGTCTCCACCTATTACAACAGATTTATTAAGCTTAGTAAAAACTTCCTCCATAATTTTTTCAAAAGTATCGTATATAGAACTAGGTCTGTAGACGCTCACAACAATGAAGTGTATTATAATAAGAAAAGCTCATAGACATCATATACATATTGTATGTGCTCAAGTTATTATAAATAGTAAGAGTAATTCAGATCTTGTATAAGTAAGATATTGTGTATTAATTTAATACTTCGTACTCATTCAATTCAAGCCAAGAAATAGGCAGTATGTATCGCAGAAACTCACTTGTATGATTATTAATGTTTAAAGTTTACGATATATCAGACGTCTGAGTCTCGTGACGGTCCGGGGGGGAAGGCTTATATGACATTAGGATGTCAAACGATTCAGGGCTCCTGTAAACATGGGTGTTTTAAAGCACCCAAGACCGCGGTAATTTATAACAGGTGTCGCTCGTAGCCTGGCAATGGCCCGGGTCGCCCTCTTTCATATCTAGTGTGGTGAAGATATGAATAAAAAAATAGAGAAAAGTGTACGTGCCACATCTGCGTATCCAGGTCGTAGCAGTGCAGGTCCGAGGGCAGGGTGCTGTCGGCCGCGCCGCCGAACACGTAGAGGTGGCGCGCGTGCGCCAGCATGGTGTGCCCGTAGCGCCGCGCCGGCGCCGGGCCCGCGCAGCGCAGCAGGTGCTCCGTGCACACGCGGCTCCAACTGCACAACATCGCAATAACCAACCATCAAACAAAATATACCAACACGAGAGCCGATCACCTAATTTCTTCTAAGCACACAACTCACTAGTTCAGCCAGGCCTGACACACACAATACACAAAATATCGCGACCGTAATTGGTCTATTGGGAGGGGCAATATAGCGGCATGTTTACGACAAACCACCTTAACTTTTTTTTTGTAGACTAAGGGTGACAAACTAGCACATAGTACCTGATGGCAAGTGGGTGCTGTGAACCTATAGATTACATCTATCCTCTATTAAGGATCAAAATTCAGATGTGAGGACTAAGGTCGAATGCCTCTTTTTCATAAAAAGGGTCTCTGGATCTCTAAATGCTAGCTGCAGCATTTCTCTACCACGTATAACGTATATTGAGCTCTGCTATCACTCATACGTTATTTATACCAACAGTTTTACACCTAAATGTCTTAATTGATTTTTCACACCATCCAACCGAACACAAAGGCATCATCATTCATCATCATTACAGCCCTTCACAAGTCCACTGCTGAACATAGGCCTCCCCCAAAGAATGCCACAAAGCACGGTCCTGAGACACCTGCATCCATCGACTTCCTGCATGTCTTACCAGGTCGTCAGTCCATCTCGTGGGGGGACGCCCTACACTTCGCCTACCGGTACGAGGCTGCCACTCGAGAACCTTTCTTCCCCATCGGTTGTCGGTTCTTCGAGCTATATGGCCGGCCCACTGCCACTTCAGCTTACTAATCCGTTGGGCTATGTCGGTTACTCTGGTTCTACTGCGGATATCCTCATTCCTAAGTTTATCACGCAGAGAAACTCCGAGCATAGCCCTCTCCATAGCTCGCTGAGCGACCTTGAGCTTCCTCATACGGCCAGCAGTGAAGGACCACGTCTCAGTTCCGTAAGTCATCACTGGCAACACGCACTGGTTGTACAATTTCGTTTTCAGGTTTTGAGGTATGTCTGACGAGAAGATGTGTCGTAGCTTCCCGAACGCTGCCCAACCGAGTTGAATCCGTCGATTGACCTCTCGGTCGAAGTTGGACTTACCTAGTCGGACTATTTGTCCCAGGTAAACATACTCGTAAACAACTTCGAGCTTAGTGCTGCTAACAACTACCGGCATAGGTGTGACATGGACATTGAACATGATCTTTGTTTTGTCCATGTTCATCTTAAGACCTATCCGTTGGGAAACACTATCGAGGTCATTGAGCATAGTGCTTAGGTCCTCCAGCGATTCTGCCATAAGGACTATATCGTCGGCAAATCGAAGGTGAGTGATGTACTCGCCATTGATGTTGATACCGTATCCTTTCCAGTCCAGAAGCTTGAAAACGTCTTCCAATGCAGCGGTGAAGAGTTTCGGGGATATGACGTCACCCTGTCTTACACCTCTCTGCAATTTGATAGGTTTCGTACTCTGGTTCTGTACTCGGATAGCCATCGTAGCCCTACTGTACAAGCACTTCAACACTTCGATATACCGACAGTCAACTTGGCACCGCTGAAGGGACTGCAGCACCGCCCAAATTTCGACGGAATCAAAGGCTTTCTCATAGTCCACATACGCCAGACATATTGATGGTATATTTGCTCAAAATAATTTAAATGACAATATTATTATGATCACAAAGTTCTAACTCTTAAAGTAAGTAGTAAAGTAAAGTTGCAGCCTATTTACGTCCCACTGCTGGGCACAGGCCTCCTCTCATTTCTGAGAGGGTTTTAGGGCAAGGAAATGACCGCCGCGCTGCCCCAATGCGTGTTGGCGAACTTCACATGTCTTCGAAATATTTGTTATTTTTCTTATTTCTCAGACATGCATCTAACCTCTTAAGCGATACTAAAAATATATATTATTATGTATATTGCATATATAATATCCTACATATCGAATTTCGATCACGGCGGCCAATCTTAACGGAGCTCTAGCTATCTGCTGCGCTGGATAGGATTATAGTGCACAAGCATAGGTGCACTCACTATTCGGACAGCATTCCGACACGACCGGAGAAAGATCAGGTCTAACGCTTTTACGTGCTTTGCTTTCCGAGGCACGGGGGCGAAATACCGCCAACGTTCTGACTCCGGGCTGTTAGTGAGATTTTTTGACAGATAAAAACATATCACTAATTTCAGTTTTTCGACCACTAGAGCAATGAGACAGTCAATTGTATATGAAATATATATGTATACAATAAGTATATTGTATCAAAGTGCACACCGAGTCTACCTCTATTTCTTTTAACTATCCTTCAGTTCCTTGGTAGGGAGGATCCTTAGCTGTCACGTTCAGCAAGCGGATAGGCGATACCAAACGTCTCGCACCTTTGACGATGCTTCTATAAACGGGATAGTTATACCGTAATCTACCGGAAGCCATGACGTCTTATGAGCTTCTCATAGCCGCCGCTTATATCACCTACTTCACGAAATGGGATGATGATACTCTTACCCCGCTCCCACACTGCAATACAAGTCTTGAACTAGAAGACAGTTGCATCCAACACTGTGTATTGGAAGTTGGAACCATTCGTGTTGCTGCCATGATAATTATTCGATTATTGTACAATTTCAAGCTTACGCAATTTTACATGGAGAACATTTAAGCTGAATGTCTGCTTACGTATGAGTTTCGAAGTCAAACTGGAATAGTGCGTTGGTGATCTTAGCGCCGCTTTGTCCACTGAACACAAACATCTTGCCACGTGCAACGGCCACCGGGAAGTTGCAGCAGGTAGGTGGGCACTGACCCTTTTGCTCCACGCGTTCCCACTGACGGTTTTCACCCTAGAAATAGTAAAGCGTAGTATTATAACTAAGGAATGGCAAGTATAGTGTGGCAATTTAGAGTAAGCCATAGACATTTACACTTGTATGAGTAGCGTGTAGTTTATACTCATATTATACATTACAATTTATGTAGTAAAGTAAAAATAATACATTTTTAAAACTTTAATTTAGATTGATAAGATAAAACACTCACAACTTAGTCCGCCACTGCCATAGAAACTATTCATTCGACAACTTAAAATACTATTATGTCATAGAAATCACAAACGGCTTCTGTATTACTTACTACTAAATTAACCGTCCACATATCGTTCAGGCGAGCATTGCCATCATATCCTGCGAAAATCCAAAGCTTATCGTCGTAGACCGCCGCGCCATGGGCTGATCTAGGCACAGGTTCTCTGAAAAAGTTAACAGTGAAAGAATATATTGTGATGGAACCAACTTACATATTTTAGAAAAAAATATTTTGATTGTCATTATTAAACAATATTATACGTACGAGTACGTGCGTAAATAAGCAGTAGGAAAAGTTAAAACTAAACGTTAAAGTTAAATAAGAAGGAATGAATTCATCAAATCCATTTCTTAAAGAGAAACCAGTCCACCTGATGATAAATGGATGCTATAGCCAACCTAACATTAACAAACAAATTATATATTCCCCTCACCCCCGAAAACTATGATGGACTGTTACCGGTAAATAGTTTCCGGCTTTTGTCACTCTCTATATTTCATTCAGACATACCAGCATTATGCTTCTGTTGTGACTGTATCATTCCATATCAACTATACTAGAATTATTTTGCCCGTGCAGTTTGGGTCATAAATCATCGTAGTATTTCGCTATCTATCCTACTCACGGGCCTTAGGGGCGAGCATAGTGATGCGCATTATTGTTGTCGATAAGCGTTATCGATAATGTAAAAGCTCTAACCACATATCGCCGCAGCAAGTTCACGAGAACGGCAGAAATTAACACTTTGTAACTTTTCGGGATCTATATTCATTTCAGTGAAAAATGTTAAAACATTGTTGATAAAAACACGTGCTTGTGCTGGTATATTGGTGCCAACAGGCAAAATATTATTTTGAATAAATTCTGCCGTTTTGGTACAAAACAAAGGAGTAGCCATTGTGTCACTAAAGGAATTCAGAGAGCGAATGCGTAAAAACAAATTTCTCTTCGATATATGTACTAAATTATCATTGCACTAATTTGCAGGTATTAGGCGGGGGTAATGAGGAGTGTAAAGGACTTCGCTAAGATCTTGGAGCCCAAGCCAACCCCGCCTGCACGTGGCGCACCTGCTGGACAACGGAAAGGGCATCTGGCGATGCCACTCCTCTGGGATTCGTCCTAGGGGTCGGGGGTCAGACGGCAGTCACCCCGGTAATTGGCACTAGGCCACTCAAAAATGGAAAGAAAAAGAAAGAGATATACGTTTAGGACTAGGGTGTCGCTGCATAACGACGCGCATGGGGATCGCCTTAATCCTGCGACAAGTATGCGAGGGCTACCGCGCCCCGTGCGAGCCCGGCTAAAGACGTTAGCACCAACTACGAAGATTCGCTTTGCAAACTGGAACATTGACACGCCTACGGGACGCTCCGCAGAACTTGCGGCCATACTTGCCAGGCGTAAAGTGGCAGTGGCATTCCTGCAGGAGACAAGGTGGAAGGCCAACAGGAGCCGGAATATTGGGCACGGCTACAAGCTGATCTATACAAGCTCTTCTGGTGGGGAGAACGGTGTGGCAGTGGTGCTCGTCGAGCATTTCCACGATAGCGTCTTGGAAGTTAGACGCATATGCGACCGACTTATGGTAGTAAGGTTGCTTATTGTAGGGGTCGTGACCCACTTAATAAGTGCCTACGCCCCACAGGTCGGCTGCAGCGACGCGGATAAGACGCTGTTTTGGGATCGACTCGGAGATGTACTACGCGGCATACCGTTGTCCCACGATGTCGTTTTGGGTGGCGACCTGAACGGTCATGTGGGCGAGGTGCAGGGGGAGTATGAACGTGTCCACGGCGGTTATGGTTACAGCCGAAGAAACGCAGAGGGGGAAACCATTCTAAGAACCTGCACTGCAGCTGACCTGGCCGTGGTGAACACGTTCTTCAGAAAGAAAACCGAGCACCTGATTACCTACAGGAGCGGTCGGAACGCCACTCAAATCGACTATATACTGACCAGGAGAAGTCATATCAGTCGCGTGGCCAACTGTAAGGTCATACCCGGTGAGTGTCTCACTGCCCAACACCGACTTCTTGTCATGAACCTCTGCGTAAAACCCCGTTGCAGATACGCCGAACATTGCCGCCAAATCAAGTGGTGGCTGCTGGATCAAACCAGATACTCAGAGTTTGACTCTGCCGCTGGGGATATTAGTCTCGACACAGCAGGCAAGTCCGTCCAAGAGTGCTGGAAAACCATTCAGACAGCAATCACAAAGACAGCAAAGCAAGTTCTCGGCGTGGCGAAAGGGGGCCGCAAAATCGACAAGGAGACTTGGTGGTGGGACGCCACAGTCCAGGGTTCATTACGGGAGAAGAATGCGCTCTTCAAGACGTGGCAAGCGACCAAATCTCCTGAAGATCACGCATCTTACAAGACAGCGAAAAGAGCTGTCAAGAAAGCTGTAGCCAGAGCAAGGCGTGACCACTTGCAACCATTTTATGCTAAGTTGGACACTCCTGAGGGGCACAAGATATTACTCGCTGCTGCAGCGTCAACGGCCCTAATGGCAAACTCCTGTACGATGATCGTGCGGTGAAGGAGAGATGGCGCTCTTATTTTCACGTTTTGCTGAATACTTAGCACCGGGAAGTGCACCCTCTCGAACAACTCCCGAACCATGGACTCGTGCCACCGATTACACCTGACGAGATCCTCGCATCTCTTCGTCACATGAAGAATCGGAAAGCTGTCGGACCGGACGAGGTGCCAATTGAAGCGTGGAAAGCGCTGGGGGCTCGTGGTGTGTGCATTCTTACTAACCTTTATAATAGAATCCTGATCGACCGAATAATGGCCGATCAGTGGCGGCTTAGTATAATAACGCCGGTCCACAAGGGTAAAGGATCCGTTCAGGATTGCGGTAATTACCGCGGTATAAAGGTGATGCCACACACCATGAGGCTCTTCGAGCGCATTATCGACACCAGGATCCGACAAGAGTGTACAGTGTCGGACTCCCAGTACGGTTTCCAACCAGGACGCGGTACCATGGACCCTATATTCGCCCTAAGGATCCTCATGGAGAAGCACAGGGAAAAGAATATGCCTATGCATATTTTATTCCTAGACCTGCAGAAGGCCTTTGACTGTGTTCCCAGGGAGATGATCTGGTGGGCGTTGCGGTCAAAGTTGGTACCAGAGACCTACGTGGAAGTCGTACGTGACATGTACCGCAACTCCGATTCAATAGTCAGGACCGCTGTTGGTGATACCTCCCCCTTCCCCATAACCGTAGACGTGCATCAGGGCTCCGTCTTAAGCCCCTATCTCTTCAGTGTGATATTAGACGAACTGTCAGCCAGCGTACAGAAACTACCGCAGCCTTGGCTGCTTATGTACGCTGATGATATCGCACTGGTAGATGGGGACAAAGGACGGCTCACCAGACGTGTGCACGCATGAAAAAAGGCGCTTGAGAACGGCGGGCTGAAGCTAAATGTGGCGAAGACGGAGTATATGGCCTGCAACAACACAGATCTGACGTCTCTCCATATAGGCGACGACACCGTCGAGCGCAGTGTCATTTGTGACCCCAAAATGCCGGTCAAGCTGAAGGGACATGTCTATAAGACCATCATAAGGCCTGTCCTTACGTACGGCAGTGAGGCGTGGCGGGTGCTGAAGCGACACCGGCAGTTGTTTCATGTCACGGAGATGAACATGCTGCGGTGGATGTGTGGCGTTACGCGGAAAGACCGTGTACGGAATACATACATCCGCGGCAGCCTCCATGTCCGTGACATTGCTGACAAGCTGCAGGAAAGTCGCCTCCGCTGGTACGGCCACGTCTTACGAAGACCGGCAAGCTACGTGGGAAACAAACGCCTGGACATGACCCTACCTGGACCAAGAGTAGAGGACGGCCCAAGAAAAGCTGGCTTGATGTCGTGCAGGATGACATGCGCACCAATGGGCTAGTTGTAAGGGACGCCGAAGACCGGGCGAAGTGGAGGAGGAAGTGTAGGAAAGCGGACCCTGGGTTCTCCCGCGCTGGGCGGGATGAGCAACCGGGATAAACGCTAGGTAGAAGAAGGCGGGGGTAATAATGGAAAACAAATTACTCATAACATAACAATGTCGCACCAGCCTTTGTATACTGCACCGCCGCCGTGTACCTGCCTTCGATGATTTTTTTTTTCATTTATTTGGGTCAACAAACAGTTTCACAATAATGATTTTACAAATAATGTACATACACATCATAATGGTATAATTGTGAAACCAACACCGTTAACCACAAGTTATTAAATAAAAAATTAGAGTGTTTTTGCCAAAAGTTAGCATTTCTTTTAAGTAAGTTGGCTATGGATTTAATTCAATCAAATTGTGTGGTGTTGAATTCACGCAACAGATTAAAGAAAACTGATTTTCTAAATGAAGTAACATTCGTTGCAAATATATCTAGGGTAGTGAAATAACTGTTACTGTTTCATTGATTTCATTCATTTGTTGTTATCGATAATGGCATTGCGCCCGCGCAACATGCTCACCGCCCAGGATGAGGCCAAGGTATGATTTATGACCCCAACTGCACGGACAAAATAATTTCACTATAACAGTTATCTTAATTGTAACCGGCTACTGTAGCCCATGTATCTATACTTAAAAGCCATTCCTGTGGACTAAGGTGATATGTCTCACAGCCTGTAATTACACTGACCCTTCATTCTAGTCAGATCGAAACCCACATCTATATGGAGACACTATTGTTTGGTGGCAGAAGGAGACAAGAAAGTAGCCAACTGACTTTTATGCGGCAAAGAGTCACAGCGCCGAAAAACCGTTTAAATAAAATCAATGAAGTATAATCATTCAAATATACTTATCACGATTATCCACTACTAAGTAAGTTATTGATATACATTAGAAATAAGAAGGGCCTGAGAATTGGGCCCTGAGGAACGCCCGTGAATACTATTGATCTGAAAAAAGTCTTATTGATAGCTAATTTTTGCGTTCTGTTACGAAAAAATATTAAATTATAAGTTTAAAGGCAATAATTTTAATTCATAATGTTATAGATTACGCTTAATTTCTCATAGTATACAAAGTAAAAAGCCTTAGAAAGGTCACGAAATACCCAACACATTGTGTCCATTCTCATATACATATCAAATCACTTCTACACTGGCGAAATAAGTTATCTAATTGTTTCTAAAGTATAACTGGACATAATTACTTACTGGCCAACAAACTTCCATTGAACCCACTGAGCACTTTGGAATTTGTATTCAAACAGATCATTTTTATTGGTAAGATTGGAGTTAGCGAGGATGTCACCTGTGTAGCCCCCAAACACAAACATAGAAGATCTATGCACCTGTAATAAAAATATCTAAATGTAGTGATTATTAAAGTCAAGTAACTTTAGAATACTTTTAAAATATAAATATGTATAATTATTACTAATTTAAATTACTCTAAAATATATATAATATATACATAAAACCGCACCCAGATGGGCTTGGGAAATCAAAGGGCCGAGGGTTATCCTGCAGATGGCTGGGAAAACCAAAGGGCCGAAGGTTAGGTAGGAAGGGAAAGTAAATCGGCAGACGATACGGGTAGTATCGAAGAGCAGCGCCTTCAGCATTTGAGCCCGGAGCGATGCGTCATGGATCCCTATTCGCCTCAGATGATTCGAGAGGCTGACCGGGATTAACCCGTTTACAACGGCCGAAGGTTATCCTGCAGATGGCTGGGAAAACCAAAGGGCCGAAGGTAAGGTAGGAAGGGAAAGTAAATCGGCAGACGATACGGGTAGTATCGAAGAGCAGCGCCTTCAGCATTTGAGCCCGGAGCGATGCGTCATGGATCCCTACTCGCCTCAGATGATTCTAGAGGCTGACCGAGACTAACCCGTTTACAGAGACGAATACAGGAATAATTTCTATCGGCAGACCACCTCACATGTCAGTCACCTCGTGAGCCAGATCTAAGTATATGTTACGGCTTTCACGAGGTTCTTTTCATTCGATATTGTAATAAAAAATATAGTTACCTGTACCCATCAACCCGATTTCAAGCTTATTCGCAAGAACAGTCCTGTCCTCCAGTAGAGCCTGGCTTGAACATTTTGAGCACGGCTCCAGGCGCGTACTTATAATAAGGCAGTTTCCTATTCTCAAGACCGTATATCAGATCGACATCCTGGTGAAGTATCCTAACTAGTAGGTCGTGTCCGTGCAAATACTCAGTTTTAGAAAGCATTGAACAACCGGAGATGACATACCACCAAGTAGCTACAAACTCGACAGAGGTCGTCATTGCCATCCTTTAGGATGTATCTCCGATAATAATTGTTGGGTTTTATAACCTGATATTGTATTGCACAGACAAAACCTTCGGTTTTCCTGAAGAGGCCATCAAAACGTTTCTAGTGGAGGTAGGCAACCGTATCTATGAATCTGTGACTCCTGTAGAGCCTTGTAGAATTTATCGTGGAGCTCTTTTTCCTTCTAAACGGTTTCCCAGTCGGAAATGACGAGCAATGGCAGGACCCGGTATTGCCGGGTCCTGCCATTGCTCGTTAGCTAATCGTAGAGGGGTAAGCACTTTATCATACAAAAGACGTCCATGTAGAATGGGTCATCTGATATTGTGAAGATGTAATTAGAGAGTCCGAACACTTTGCGATTGTGCATGGTGAGTGCTTGAAAAGCCACACCTAAATGTTTGCGTCATTGACGTCATAACAGTGGGTACTTTTTTACCCAGGACATTAAAGGCGGTTTGAATATGTCCTTTAGCAACCCCACCTCTTTTAACATGAAGCACCACACACTTTTTCGAACCTAGCTCTGCTTTGACGGAACTGCTAATCTTACAAGGCAAATAATTTGACATCGTTCACATAGAAAAGGTGGATCACTTTGTTGTCACCTTTTTTTTCAAGGGCGGTAATGCGACACGACCGGAGTGAGATCAGGCGCAGGATCCACAGCTTAGGAGCTTTCCGAGGCAATCCCGGCTGTTACTGAGAAATTCTTGACAGAAAAATCCAGTAATTGATTTTGTCCCGACTGGGGATTCGAACCCAGGACCTCATGATCACCAACTGCGTTTTCGGCCACTAGACCAAGAAAGCAACCATCTGACTTCAAATAGGTCACCAGCATTGGGTTTAGAGCCCTTAGAACAGCATGATTCCGCTTGCTTAGGGGTATGCCGGGAAGTAGCGGTCGATTTTATAGTTTTTTCCGTAATCGGCTCTTACAATGTGCTCTATTTCATCGGCATTTTGTCTAATTCATGGGCTATTCCATCATTGTCTGAATCAACCACAAGTGTTGAGATGCAACCATATGGTTGGAGATCCATGGCTGCATCTCCAACTGTATTATTTTCTTATTTCAGCAAGCAGTTGAAGCAACAATTGCCTGTTTCCAATTATTACATATTGTTTTTTCTTTTCAGTAATATATTTATCAAGTTTATTTCTAAAACTATTTATGTCCTTTACTGAGAGCACATTTTCAGGCAGCTTTTTCCACTCTTTAACTGATTTTAGAATCAATATCATAGCTGCAATTTCATAGTAACAAATCTAACAAACCCCCTTGTTCCAGCATTTGCAAAATTATTTTAAAGATAAAATCAAGCGAATGTTTCACGACAATACTTTTGCAAATGTGGTGTATCAATTAGTGGCTGTGCCATTTTTTCTCAACTGAAGTAGTATGAAAATAACTTTGCTTGACACAGGGAATCATGTTTTGAAAGAACAAAAATACTGTTTGAAGATAATCACTTACACTATGACATATAACATAAATTTATTATTTAATTCAAAGATAATTAAAAAAACACTGAATTTTAAACTAGGCATTATTAAAAATTCACAACATAGTGAGGGTGTAAGAATATCTGCTACGCCATATTGTTCTGTGGATGTCGTAAGTGGAGGCAACAGAGGGAAGCATACCAGAAGATGGGCAGCAGTGTCCTCCTCATAACAACTGAAAAAAAAACAGTAGTTGCCAACCCACCCGCCAAGAGTAGCAACTATTGCAAATGAAGCATTCAATGAGGAGGGAGGTTATGGTCAGCAGTGGACTTTTAAGGCTGTAATGGTATCAGTAATAGAACTGGTAAATGGTAATTATTAAAGATGACAATGACAATTGCATAGGTAATAGGCATAATTGTATTATCATAATATATACAATATGATGTCGGGGTCAATAGAATTAATCATATGATTAACTATTTATTATTATATAGTTTTTTTTATAATATATAAAAATAAAAATGAAATCAAAGGCTATTCTATTCTATTCATTTATATTGTAAAATTTATTTTAAAAAAAAGTCCCGCTGGGTTTCTTGCTGGTTCTTCCCAGGACAGAGGGTTTTTTTCAAACCAGTGGTAAAGTAAAAATTCACTTTCAATAAGAATTACACATGTAATGTATATTGAATAAAAAATATTCTATTCTATTCTATTGATAGGGTCAATAAACTGTCTACTACATAAAGTGATGTAGTCACACTTAAAGATAAGTAAAATTTACATTATACATTGTATTGTAATTGATTTATAATGTTATAAATAAGTTTAATTTATTGTATGATAAGCCACAACACCTGTATAGTTACAGGCTACTTACAACTGCTGAGTGATGATACCTCGGTGCTGGAGGGGTACCCATACATCCAGTTTTAGTCCAAGATTTTTCTCTGATGTCAAATCTAATTAGGTCATTCAGCATAGATTTACCATTGTCACCACCAAATACATAAATTGCGTCTTTGTAAGCTACAGCAGTATGTTTACTTCTCCTAAAGTTTTAAATGTAAATTTTAATATATTTTTAAGTAAAAATAATTTTGAAATTTCAAGAATTATTTCCAAATAGGTTTTTCAGTTTTACTATTAGATGATTTTCATGCCCAAATAGTTTATATTTGAAAATATAAATACCTTGCTCCAACAAATTCATAGCATTCTGACATGCGTTTCCATTTATGTACAGTTTCAAATGGCCCAAACTCCATTCTAAGGCTAATGTCCAATTCATTTGGATTGCGGAGTTGTTCAGTTATCATTTTAGCAATATTTTGCATTTTGCTTCTTTTGAATACAGAATCTTCTAATTAAAAATATATTACAGCTTTGTGAATTACCTGAAAAATATAATCAGGTAAATTATTCTATTTTATGAATTGATAAACAAATCACATGTGTTTAACATAATAATGTACAATATCTATCAACAGTCCCAATCCTATAAATCATATCAAAACATTTATGTACTCAAAGAACACAGAAACTGTATCTAGATCAGTGTTAAAATAGAAAAAGTTTAAAATAAAACACAGATATAGGTAGTGATGAATTTATCTTTGTGGTCGTTGACTTCTGCTCAGAGCATTATATGTTTGGAAAGGTTTCTGTCGTAAATAACATATTTTCCCCGATAGTAAGCACACATAAATGATTTTAAATGTTTTAAATTAATAATTTCTAACTTTATCCTCCCTTAAGAGTGGTAAATGGTAATTTCGTTTTAAAATGTGTATTTGTAATTCCTAAAGCTTTTCATAAATATCTTCATTAGATATAAAATTCTGTGTATTTATTGCACAAAATATAAAGTTGTATGTACAGGATTTATTGTTCTTTCATTTTTGATGTAGACATTTGAATTTGATAGTGACAGTTGACAGTGGTTGACAGAATGAAAATTTTATTAAGATTTTTGGCTTGGATGCTTGTCTTTATGCACTGTTCTTATCCCAATCAATTTTTTATAGTAACCTATCAGAAGGAGGGTTAATATTATACCGGTCTGTGGAGCACAAAGAAGTTGCCTTGGAAGTATGACTGGTCAAATTAATGAATAGGTGCACATAATTGCTCACTAAATGCTCAATTCAAATCTGCAATTGCTCACATTATTAATTTATTATTTAAATAGTTATTAATAATTTAAAATAAAGAATTGTTTTTGTCTATTATACATAAAACCAATAAACTTTTTTTAAATGAATAACCGCCCATAATTTCTCACAAAATGCTTAATTTAAATCCGCAAATGCTCACACTATTAGTTAATTATTTAATTATTAATTAATAATTTAATATCATATCCCCGAAACTCTTTATCGCTGCATTGGAAGATGTTTTCAAGCTTTTGGACTGGAAAGGATACGGTATCAACATCAATGTCGAGTACATCACTCACCTTCGATTTGCCGACGATATAGTCCTTATGGCAGAATCGCTGGAGGACCTAAGCACTATGCTCAATGACCTCAATAGTGTTTCCCAACGGATAGGTCTTAAGATGAACATGGACAAAACAAAGATCATGTTTAATGTCCATGTCACACCTATGCCGGTAGTTGTTGGGAACACTAAGCACGAAGTTGTTGACGAGTATGTTTACCTGGGACAAATAGTCCGACTAGGTAAGTCCAACTTCGACCGAGAGGTCAATCGACGGATTCAACTCGGTTGGGCAGCGTTCGGGAAATTACGGCACATCTTCTCGTCAGGTATACCTTAAAACTTGAAAACGAAACTGTACACCCAGTGCGTGTTGCCAGTGATGACATATGGAACTGAGACGTGGTCCTTCACTGCTGGCCGGATGAGGAAGCTCAAGGTCGCTCAGCGAGCTATGGAGAGGGCTATGCTCGGAGTTTCTCTGCGTGATAAACTTAGAAATGAGGATATCCGCAGTAGAACCAGAGTGACCGACATAGCCCAACGGATTAGTAAGCTAAAGTGGCAATGGGCCGGCCATATAGCTCGAAGAACCGACAACCGATGGGGAAGAAAGGTTCTCGAGTGGCAGCCTTGTACCGGCAGACGAAGTGTAGGGCGTCCCCCCACTAGATGGAGTGACGACCTGGTAAGATATGCAGGAAGTCGATGGATGCAGGTGGCTCAGGACCGTGCTTTGTGGCATTCTTTGGGGGAGGCCTATGTTCAGCAGTGGACTTGTGAAGGGCTGTAATGATGATGATGATGATGAATTTAAAATACAAATTCGTTTTTTCCTACACCGATCAGATTAATGAATATGCGCTCATAATTGCTCACTAAATGCTCAATTCAAATCTGCAATTGCTCACGTTATTACTTTATTATTTAATTAGTAATTAATAATTTAAAATACAGAATAGTTTTTGTCTATTATACTTAAAACCAATAAACCAATTTTAAAATGAATAAGTGCTCATAATTGCTCACAAAATGCTTAATTGAAATCCGCAATTGTTTACACAATTAATTATTTAATTACTTATTAATAATTTAAAATACAAAATTGTTTTTTCCTAAACCACTCAGATTAATGAATATGCGCTCATAATTGGTCACTAAATGCTCAATTCAAATCTGCAATTGCTCACATTATTAATTTATTATTTAAATAGTTATTAATAATTTAAAATACAGAATTGTTTTTGTCTATTATACTTAAAACCAATTAACTTTTTTTTAAATGAATAACTGCCCATATTTGCTCACAAAATGCTTAATTTAAATCCGCAAATGCTCACACTATTAATTAATTATTTAATTATTAATTAATAATTTAAAATACAAAATTGTTTTTTCCTATTTAATTATTAAATAATTAAGTAATAACGTGAGCAATTGCAGATTTGAATTGAGCATTTAGTGAGCAATTATGAGCGGATATTCATTAATCTGATCGGTGTAGGAAAAAACAATTTTGTATTTTAAATTATTAATTAATAATTAAATAATTAATTAATAGTGTGAGCATTTGCGGATTTAAATTAAGCATTTTGTGAGCAATTATGGGCAGTTATTCATTTAAAAATTGGTTTATTGGTTTTAAGTATAATAGACAAAAACTATTCTGTATTTTAAATTATTAATTACTAATTAAATAATAAAGTAATAACGTGAGCAATTGCAGATTTGAATTGAGCATTTAGTGAGCAATTATGAGCGGATATTCATTAATCTGATCGGTGTGGGAAAAAACAATTTTGTATTTTAAATTATTAATTAATAATTAAATAATTAATTAATAGTGTGAGCATTTGCGGATTTAAATTAAGCATTTTGTGAGCAATTATGAGCAGTTATTCATTCAGAAAAAAGTTGATTGGTTTTAAGTATAATAGACAAAAACAATTCTGTATTTTAAATTATTAATAACTATTTAAATAATAAATTAATAATGTGAGCAATTGCAGATTTGAATTGAGCATTTAGTGAGCAATTATGTGCACCTATTCATTAATTTGACCAGTCATACTTCCAAGCCAACTTCTTTGTGCTGTCTTTGTCTGTGGTAAGGGTAATTTCTAAGATAGTAGGAAAATTTTAACTTGCCATATTATCATCATAAACTGACCATTTGCAGAGAGAGAGAGGTGATACATGGACTAGAAAAAGAGATATCAATAGCAAATGGGTTACGATTGGTATATTTAATAGTAGTTATGTCACCTTCATTTAAGATACATAAATCTAAGTCATCTAAAATGTTGTATAATTTTTCACCCCTAGTGTTTTATTACACAGGCATCCAAATGCAATGTGGTGTCCATTAAAATACCCATCCACAAAATAGATTTTGGAAGATTTTGTATAATATTACTTAAATTGCTAGCTTTCAAAAGAACTGCAGGAGTACAATAAACACAAAGAAAAGTAATGTTGCCACGAAAAGTTGATAAAAATAACGCTATAGTTTGTAAAAAGTGGATGAAATTATCTTGAATCTATACAAATAAATAAAATTGAAGTGTCTGTTTGTAATTTCAAAATTACAGCTTTTTACTAAATGCATATGAAAGTATATACGGTACTAATAACAAAAATACAATTTTTAAAGTTTTGTCTGTCTGTCCGTCCGTCTGTCTGTTTGTTCCGGCTAATCTCCGAAATGGCTGGACCGATTTTGACGGGATTTTCACTGGCAGATACGAGTAGCTGATGTTACAAGAAGTAACTTAGGCTACTTTTATTTTAGAAAAAGAATTAGGGTTCCACGCAAGTATATTAAAACCCTCAAATAACACGTGGGAAACAGCTAGTTTAAAAAATTGCTACACCACCATGTTCATTGATGGCATTCTTAAAATACATATTGAAACCAAGTATTCCAACAAGGCTATTATTTTTTAATCAAGTTAATTCAAAACACAAATATCTATGTTATTTTCTTGTAAGAAAATAGTTAAAAGAGGAATCTTATTATATATACTTTGTATATTAAATAAGGCTATTCTTAATACAGGCGTTTTAAGGCATTTAGTTCTAAGATCTTTAGTTGATATTGTTGTAATGGGAGTGTGGGTCCCCTTGTTAGTTAGTGAAACAAGCGTTCGAACGTCGGTGGTATATTATCCCCCGGCTTCAGTATTTAACATGGTAATTATTTACAAAACTACTAATTATACTGTATTTACAAGATTGAAACTAAGAAAATTCAAATTAAATAGTTTATAGGAAAATAATTTGAATTTCAAAAAATACCGCACCTTCTCAGTTCAATCATCATTACAGCCCTTCACAAGTCCACTGCTGAACATAGACCTCCCCAAAGGAATGCCACAAAGCACGATCCTGAGCCAGGTGCATCCATCGACTTCCTGCATGTCTTACCAGGTCATCACTCCAGGGGCGACTGATAGTAGAAAGGCCGCCCAACACTTCGCCTACCGGTAGGAGACTGCCACTAGTGAACCTTTTTTCCCCATCAGTGTTCGGTTCTTCGAGATATATGGCCGGCTTACTAATCCGTTGGGCTATGGCGGTCATTCTTGTTCTACTGCGGATATCCGCATTTCTAAGTTTATCACGCAGAGAAACTCCGAGCATAGCCCTCTCCATAGCTCGCTGAGCGACCTCATATGGCCAGCAGTGAAGGACCACGTCTCAGATCCATAAGTCATTACTGGCAACACGCACTGGTTGTACAAATTAGTTTTCAGGTTTTGAGGTGTACCTGACGAGAAGATGTGCCGTGTCCCAAACGTTGCCCAGCCGAGCTGAAGTCGGCAAATCGAAGGTGAATGATGTACTCGCCATTAATGTTGATACCGTATCCTTTCCAGTCTAGTAGCTTGAAAAC